CACACATCGCCTGGCTTTAGCACAAGGACATGGGACTATAATTCCCACCTACACATTGCCTGGCTTTAGCATTCATCAGCTTATGGCTGATCTTTTTCATCTGGGCCCTGCCACTTTCCTCTGTATTATAAATCTCAGACATTATATTCATTAGCTTTTTACTGTTGTTGTTAAAAGACAAATTAGAAATAAATTAGAAATAAGGATGAGTGTCTTGTGATGCCGTGTCCTGGCTAATAAGGAGATGTCATTGTCACACTTACTGCTACCAGGATTGTATTGTTCATATTTCCAGTTCTTATCTGTCAGGAATGTTTTTAATTGTATGAAGAAAAGGAATTCTGTGGATTTTTTTCCTTTAAACCATCACAACTTTGGAATGAGATTCCCAACTTTGAAAAAGTCTAGCGTCTGTTCTCAGCCTGTGACACGGTGGGTAGCTGTGTGTTTTGACACTTTTATGAAAAATTATCACCTTGGTCAGATAAGAGTTTGGTGACGCCTGGGAGGATGTCTTTTCTGGCTAGTGGAAATAATGAGGTAGAAACTGGGATTAAGCTGTACAGTGGGGATCCCGTTTGGCAGTGTCCTCCTTTGGGTAAAGCTGAAGATGCCTGCTGGTATCTGGCTGCTGCATGGCTATGGGAAATGTAGGAGGGGGTCTGGCTGGGGAGGAGGGAACTATCCAGGATGACCCTTGACCTCTCATCCCCACAGTTCCTTTCATTTGAGACAGCCTTGCCCCACCCACCCCGCCCTGAGCTGACTCCTCATTGCTTGCCAACACTGCATAAAATGCTGCTATGTTGTTGGTTTGTTTTCCTGTGATTTTTCTACCCTGAAGTCAAGCACCTTATGGAGAGGGTTGGATTCTTCCTGATCATCCCCGCTGTGGCAGCGCGTGGCCCCATGTTGATGGTGAATAACATCTCTGTGTTCATGTAATGCCCCAGTCACCATGACTAGTCACACGCATGCCTGCCATACACCATGATTCCTTTTTCCATTCCTTCCCTGAGTTAGCCAGTCACTTAGGAGGAATTCGACTGTCTCGGGCCTCCTGGGAGGGTCAGTGCATGGCTAGACATGCTACCCTTTCCTTGATAATTCTTTGATGACTTTCACACTGCCTTTTTCTTTATAATTAAAGAAAATATTATACAACCTTGTTGTGGTGTAATTGGCATACAACTAAGTACACAGATTTAAAGCTTCAGTTTGATGAGTTTTAACGTGTATATACCTGTGAGGCTTTCCTTTTCACTTTCCCTTTTTAGCCATCTTAAAGACTAGGAGATGAGCAGCCAGAGAAGGGGACTCTGTAACTGCTCTTGTCTTGAAACTTGCTTTTCCAAATCCCAGTGGAAAAATCGGTGTATTCTACTCTCCTTTAGCTAAGCACCGGTATTAAAATTTGGTATATTCAAACTTTGTCAATGTTTCTATTTATGGTTAACATAGTGGTGAGTGAATTTGAAAGTACAGGGAGCCCTGGAGGGATCTTTTCTTTCTTCTGGTAGGGACTAGCTGAGGCTAGGAGTTGCCTGGTTTGGGTAGAAGAGTCAGGACTCTGGATGCAGACGAATCTGGGTGTGAGCATCCACTCTGCTGCTAGGACAGGACCACCTGTTGTTGGACCTGCTATGGATCTCAGTCACAGCATCTTCCACTGTGAGACCATGAAGGGGCATGCAGGGGAGTCTTAAGAAGGCTGATGTAATTGATACAGTGTGCAGTATTTAGGTGGAAAAGCCGAGACTTCAGCTCTGTGCAGTATATCCGTGTCACAGAATTACACTGGTACCCCAGTCAAAAGGCCCCAGACTGATGGATTTCCTAGGGGCCAATTATTCTCTTTCCCTTTCAAATTATTAAAATATGTGCACCAGGTGCGTATAACATATGGGCTAACATCTGTAATCCCAGCATGTTGAGAAGCTGAGGCAGGCAGATCATTTGAGGCCAGGAGTTCAAGACTGTCCTGGCCAACATGGCGAAGTCCTGTCTCTACTAAAAATTACAAAAATTAGCTGGATGTGGTGGCACATGCCTACAATCCCAGCTACTCACGTGCTGGGGCATGAGAATTGCTTGAACTCAGGAGGCGGAGGCTGCAGTGAGCTGAGATTACACCACTACACTCAAGCCTAGGCAGTAGAGCAAGACTCCATCTCAAAAAAATTAAAAATATATATGTATATTATTTTTTGAGACAGAGTCTTACTCTGTCACTCAGGCAGAGTGCAGTGGCATAATTACATCTCACCTCACCCTTGACCTCCTGGGCTCAGGTGACCCAAAATTCTTTTTTTTTTTTTTTTTTTTTTTTTTGACACGGAGTTTTGCCCTTGTTACCCAGGCTGGAGTGCAATGGCGCGATCTTGGCTCACTGCAACCTCTGCCTCCTGGGCTCAGGCAATTCTCCTGCCTCAGCCTCCTGAGTAGCTGGGATTACAGGCACGTGCCACCATGCCCAGCTAATTTTTTGCGCTTTTAGTAGAGACGGGGTTTCACCATGTTGACCAGGATGGTCTCGATCTCTCGACCTCGTGATCCACCCGCCTCGGCCTCCCAAAGTGCTGGGATTACAGGCTTGAGCCACCGCGCCCGGCCCAAAATTCTTTATACTCAGCTCATTTTTTAAATCAGGTATAATTTATGCACAAAACACCCACATATTAAGTACTCAACTGGGTGGGTTTTGACAGTTGTATATGCCCCAGGAGCCACCACTCCAAATAAAACATGGTACACTTTCATCATTCCAGAAGGCTTTCTTCACCTCCCCTCTTTCCGATTTCCGTCTCCGTAGGTATATTTTGTTAGGGAATAAATGAGGTCATTGCTGGATGTGCTATTCTGTGTCTGGCTTCTTTGTAAAGCTCAGTAAGGTGAGAGATTCATCCATGTTTTTTCCTTTTGATTGCTGAGTAATGTTTATATAGACATGTCATGATTTACCCTTTGTCCTGTTGATGAAGATTTGGATTATTTCCCATTTTTGGCTATTGGGAATAAGATTGAATACTTTTTATATGTCTGTTGTGGACCTGTGTTTTCATTTTTCTAGGGGAAATGTTTGGGAGTGGATTGCTGGATGTTGTGGGACGTGTGTCTGGCTTGAGAAGTTGCACTGTCTGACACGGACAGCGTGTGAGTGTTCCACCCCTCCTGCTCTCGCCCACGGGAATGTGAGATGCCATAAGCACTTATATGGAGGTCTGATGTGTGTATATATCCATGTGTATTGCTTTAAGGCGGACTTCTAGAAGTGGAATTGTGGGATTCAGAGGCATATGTGCGACTGGGCACGGTAGCTCATGCCTGTAATCCCAGCACTTTACGTATTATAAGTTAATCCTTTTCAGTGTACAGTTTGGTATGTTTGGACAGTCATACACAACTGTGTGACCACCGCCATACCTGGGTGAATGCACTCTTTGGAAAGGTTTTTGCGTGCCCTTCTGGCCCCTGGCACCATTGCTGGGGTTTTGATGACTGGGTTAGGTTGGTCTTTCTTACAGCTTCCAGTAGTACATGCATCTAGCATGTGTCCTTGTGTTTGGCTTCTTTCACATGGTGTGGCTTTGCGATTCATCCATGTGCTTGTATGGATCAGCAGTTTGTCCCTTTGCTTGCTGAGTAGGATTTGTGTGGATGCACCGCAGTGTGTTTACCCGTCTGTCACCTGGTGGGCCTTTGGGCCATTGCCAGCTTTTGATCATTGTGAATATAGCTGCTGTGGACAAAGCTATCCGGAGACCCTCTCCCTTCCCTGAGACCAAACCCCTCTTCTCTGTTGGGGTCAGGAAGGGACACCTAACTGCTCATTCAGCAAACTCCACCACTCTTCGAGACGGGGCCTCTTTATCTGCTTCTGGATATAGGTTGGTTGCCAGCACTTTCCAGGGCTTTGGGGAAGGGCTCCCTTGGAGCCGGCTGCTCCTCACTGCTGGCTGAGAATGCCACTCTCTTGAGTCTGCTCCATCATCATCCTCCACTTCAGCTTGCCAGGCTTCAACGTGCTGTCTTCTCTTCCATTCTTGGTGTATTTTATGTCTTTTTTCTCTTAATCTGCTTTATTTGTCATTTTCATGTCATTTTATGTGGGGGTAGAAGCAAGTGTGTGTGCTCAGCTTCTCCCTTGACCCAGGGGGCTTTTTGCCTTAGAGTGCTTAGCCAGCCCTGGTGTTGGGCAAGTTTGTCCTTTGTTTTTGCCGTAACGACACCATAATGAGCATGCTTACAGTTAAGTTTTGATGTGTGTATATATCCATGTGCATTGCTTTAAGGCGGACTTCTGGAAGTGGAATTGTGGGATTCAGAGGCATATGTGCGACTGGGCACGGTAGCTCATGCCTGTAATCCCAGCACTTTGGGAGGCCGAGGTGTGTGGATCATGAGGTCAAGAGATTGAGACCATCCTGGCTAACATAGTGAAACCTCGTGTCTACTAAAAATGCAAAAGTTAGCCAGGCATGGTGGCATGCACCTATAGTCCCACCTACTTGGGAGGCTGAGGCAGGAGAATCACTTGAACTAGGGAGGTGGAGGTTGTAGTGAGCTGAGATTGAGCCACTGCACTCCCTCCTGGTGACAGAAGGAGACTCCGTCTCAAAAAAAAAAAAAAAAAAAAAAAAAGGCATATATACTTTTGATGCCAGATTTAGCTCCAGGAAGGCCATACCAATTTTAAATTTCAGCAGGACAAGAAAGTTTTTATTTCCTGTCCTTGTGTGAGCATTCCATCTGTAAAACATTCTCCTTTGGTATTTTTTCCTCCTCCCCAACACCCTGCCACCACATGCACATGCAGGCACATACGCACACAAAGTAAGAAATGAAGTCAGATCTTAGTGGAAGAGAGTAGGGGCGGCAGTGGCAGCAGGTCTGCTGAGTTGTGTGGGGCTGACACACAGCCTGGCTCCTCCCTGCATGCGTCCTTCCCCTGTGCCTGGACCGGCTTGGGTGAGTTGAGGCCATTGCCTTGTTTGTTTCAGGTTACAGTCCTGGCACACCTTACAAAGTGTCCTGTTCCCCCACCAGCGGGGCTGTGCCGCCGTACTCCTCCTCCCCGAACCCCTACCAGACTGCCGTGTACCCCGTGCGAAGTGCCTACCCCCAGCAGAGCCCGTACGCACAGGTATGCTGAGCTACACACTGCCATGGGGGAATGGTGGATACCATCTGGGCCCTGGGACCCTGTAGCAATTGTCTCTCTTCTCCCTACAGCAAGGCACGTACTACACACAGCCGCTGTATGCAGCACCTCCTCACGTCATCCACCACACCACAGTGGTGCAGCCCAACGGCATGCCGGCAACAGTGTACCCTGCTCCCATCCCTGCTCCTAGAGGCAACGGGGTCACCATGGGCATGGTGGCTGGGACCACCATGGCCATGTCGGCAGGTAAGTTCTTGTTCCTGGGTGTCTGTCCTATGGTGTTCCCTAGAGCTGGGGGAGGGGGAGTTCATGAATCCTCTGACCCTTGGCTCTAGGTTTTTATGGCTGTAGTTGTGTGGAAGGACAGAAAATTATTTGGGGAAGAAACAGCAGATTGTTTTTTACTTTGCTTCCCTGAGTGACCTTTTGTGGAGCCCTCTGTAAATCTGTGATGGGCTCACTTTGTTGGTGAACTGAACCATTTGGCAATGTGGGATGTGCCCCCGACTCCCCCAACCCCCATGACCGTGTGAAACTTGAGGGTAAGGAGGACACTTTGTGTACCAGGGGTGGCTGGCCCTCTTTCCTTCCCTTGAGGGGAACTTCTCTTTGCAGGTCAGATTGTCTTTATGGGGATGTTTTCATCTAGGAGAGCCGGTCTTCTGTTGATAGAAGGAACAGCTGCGTATAGAAATCCTTTATCTATCATACTTGACTTCCCAAGGCCTCCTCTAAGGAAAATAAACCATGGAGAGATGAGGCCCCTGGCTAGGGTGAGCACATCTCCACAGAAGCCCTGGGGGCTTGATCTGATGTCTAGGGATTGGGTGGCCACCCAATCCATATGACCACCCATATGGACTCACCTCCTGGTCTGTGAGTAAATATGGCCACCTTTACGTCGTGCCCACACAAAAAGCATACTGTTCCCTCCTTGTTTTTGTGGACTTCACTTCAACGTAAGAAAATTATGCCAGAGAGAAAGGCATTCCAGGATATTATGTGTGCTTCAACCTAGACCCTGATTTGGTTTTCCCTGCACTTATCTGTCAAGGAACAGGAAACTGGGCATAGACAGAAACTGCTGGTTTGAGGCACAGGGAGGGTACACAGCGGGCACCAGGTTGGGTGTGGGCGCAGGGACTGAAGGCCACTCTGTTGGAGGTGTTGCTGGTCCATAAGTGGACTCAGGTAGTTGGAGAGTTTTTGCAGTTGTAGGAAAAATAGATTTCTCCTAAAGACTTCAGAAACTCATGTAGTTTAGAGTCCTCATTTCTTCTTCTTTTTTTTTATTTTTTAATTTTTAATATATTTTTTGAGACAGGGTCCCACCCTATTGCCCAGGATGGAGTGCAGTGACATGATCTTGGCTCACTGCAACCTCTGCCTCCTGGGTTCAAGTGATTCTCCCATCTCAGTCTCCCCAGTAGCTGGAACTACAGGCGGGCGCCACCATGCCTGGCTAATTTTTTTTGTATTTTTTGGTAGAGATTGGGATTTCACCATGTTGGCCAGGCTGATCTCAAACTCCTGACCTCAGGTGATTCACCTGCCTCTGCCTCCCAGAGCACCTAGGCTTACAGGTGTGAGTCTGTTCCTAGCCTCTTTTTGTAATTTTTTTTTTAACCATCTTAACTTTTTTTTTTTTTTTTGAGACAGTGTCTTACCGTGTTGCCCAGGCTTAAATGCAGTGGTGCGATCATGGTTCACTGTAGTTTGGAATTCCTGGGCTCAAGCCATCCTGCCCCCTTAGCCGCCTCTGTAAGTGTGCTACTACACCTGGCTAATTATAAAACTTTTTTTGTAGAGCTGGGATCTCACTGTGTTCATAGCCCATCTCAAACTCCTGAGCTGAAGCTGTCCACCCACCCCAGCCTCCCAGAGTGTTGGGATTACAGTCGTGAGCCCCTGTGCCTAGCCCACCTTAACCGTTTTTAAGTATGGTTCAGTAGTGTTAAGTATATTCACATTGTTGTGAAACAGAGCCCCAGAACTTCTTTATCCTGCAAATCTGAAACTCCTGTACTCATTAAATGCTAACTCTCCATTCTCTGTCTCCGCCAACTCCTGGCACCACCAGCCCCATTCTGCTTACTTTCCGTCTCTGAATTTGACTGCTCTAGGTACTTCATTGAAGTGGAATCATACAATATTTGTCTTTTACTGACTGGCTTATTTTTCTTAGCATTATTTCGTCAAAGCTCATCTATATTGTAGCATGTGTCAGAATTTCTGTCCTTGTTAAGGCTGAATAATACATAAAAATTTTATAGTCTGTCATCTGACAAAAAAAAAATTATTGGGTGTGCTTTATGAAGGGGACACACAAAAGGCTTTTACAAACATACTGTCTGTGGAAGCTTGCTGTGTGGATACAACTTTTGGGTGTGGGAGATTATCTCATCAGAGTTCCGACAGAGTCTGGGTAGAGACTATCCCTCTTCCTGTGTACAGTCCTCCTTGCAAAGAGGCCAAGACTCTGAGTGACTGTGCCTGTGTCAGGCAATGTGGAGCCGTGCAGCAGGTCGGCCTCATGTTAATGTGCTACTCTTTCTTCCAGGTACCTTGCTGACTGCTCACTCCCCAACTCCTGTCGCCCCTCACCCGGTTACTGTGCCCACGTACCGGGCCCCAGGAACACCCACTTACAGCTATGTGCCCCCTCAGTGGTGATCACCTGCAAGTGTAAGTGACCAGTGAAGGCTGAGCCAGCCTTTGATGAATGAGCATTTCCATGGGAGAGTGGCAAATTTACCACATGTATAAGCACTAAACGAGGAAAGTATGCCTGACCCTGGATCCAGAGGCAATGCAGTGTTTAAATTTTTTTGCTTTTATTGGAACACTACAGAGTAGAAGAAAGAACAAACCATTGAATACCAACCGTTGACACTGTCTGTCTTGAGCCTTACCTGGAATGTGCTCTAACCTCACACCTGCCTGCTGCAGGAAATAGGGCTCCAGTGTAATTGGGGGTCTCTAGGAAGGAGGTGGGAACCAGGTCCAGCAGCTTTGCCCATTGCTGCCCTTTCCGACCCTGGTGAACCTTGCCCTCCTTGAGATTTTGGAGTAGCAGTGCCCGAGAGCTCTGTGTGACTGTGGTTTTTTTTTTTTTTGCAGGTTTGAGGACGGAGCTGTGCAGTCACATCATTGGGGATTCCACAGCTGGTGCTGCAGGCCTTGTGCCTCCAACCAGGACTTTCTTCTAAATGCTCTCGACACTTAGCTAAACACGACTATATCCCGGCCCAGCAGGTCCCAGCGCCGTTAGTTTCCAGCTGACTCTGTGGGTTGGTCTTAAAGCAAATTCTGTTTTGTGGACTGCCTGGCAATTTTTTAGCTAACTGTAATGATAAAAAGGGAGTATTAACCTATTCTGAATCATATCTAGTTGAATGCATGTTTTAAAAAAAACAAACACAAAAAGCTTGCTCAATCTACCTGCAGTGACTGATGCAAAACCATCATATGCAAAATCCAAAGGAATGGAAACGTATTTCACAACTTGTATCACTAATGCACTGTTGTAACGTATGCAAAGTCCTAAAGTTGTAAGCGTTAAAGTGAATGTCTTCATAGAGCATCTGAAGTATCTTAGATGATTCTTCAACCTTTTGGGGTTGATGTGGGTTGCCAGTTAGGGATGTGGACTTTTTAGTTTTCAGCGACCTGTTTCTTTGGCACTGACTGTACCAGAAGGGAGTTGCAGGATTTGGGAGAGAATAGGGAAGCCACAGCTGCTTGGGTGCAGCCAGTTAATGGGCATCCCTTTGATTTTAGGCTGGGTGGGGTCAGTGGAACAGGGACATGCTTAAAGCTCATCATGAAAGGTGATAGTTGTGTGGCCAGCACAATTTGGGGTAAGGGGGTGGTTTATGTGTCAGCCAAGCAGTTTTTCTGCTGTCTAAATTTTCATTACAATTCTCTTACAGAGAGAGATAATGTTTTTATATATCCTTATTGGAAAAGTCCTATGTAAAACTAAATTATTTTCCTGGGATGGAAGAAATGTGAGAGAGAAACAGCCGTGCTTGGAGGAGGTATTGTCTTCTGCTTTATTTAGTCTAGAAAATCATTCCATTTTTTTCCCCCTGAGAAATGTTTGAATCAGCTGAAAACAGGTAGGCATTGCTATTTTTCCCCTACAAAGAAGGGCAAAGGTTTCACCTGTATGTTATGAAGAAAGTGGTATATTTAAGAATGATTAAAAAGGGAACAAAACTTTATTTAAAATTCCTCCTATTTCTTGTAGAAAGGCAGGGCTGTGGGTGTGTCTGGAAATGTAGAAACCCGTAGCTGCTCCTGGGATCACTCACCTAATGGCGGTGACTTGTCCACTGAGGCCAGCTGGAGGGGATGCTTGGAGGTGGGGCAGGGCGGAGGCCAGTACCTGTTGTCTGGGAGCCTGTCCTGCCATCTCTTGCAGCTGAAGGCACTTGGCACAAAGCGAGCATAGAGAGGGCCAAGCAGCGCTGGGGTGCATTTGCTGGCAGGGTTTATTGTGGGAGAGGAATTTGAGTTTAGAATCTGGATCTTGTACGTAGAAATCAAGAGGCTTGCCCTGCCACACCTGCAAATATGCCTGCCTGCCCTGTATGGATGGGAGTGCGTGTCTCTTTTCAGTGAGAGTCAGAGGTGGGGGTGGGAGGGGTGGCGTCAGGCCTGTGGGCAAGAACGTTGCATCTTCTTCCCAGCACAGTGTTGTTTTGAGTGCTGTGGGCTCTGGTGGGAGGGGGCTCTGCTCCTTTCGCTGGCAGCTGGGTCAGGACACTGATGCCCAGTGAGGATGCCCACTAGCATTCTGCCCCAGTTGAGGGGGGAGCAGCTGACCACTGAGCCTTTGGTAACCTTATTTTTTTATAGTAAGTACTCCTCATAATTTTCTTTTTCACATCTTATTTTATAAGAAGTTTAGGAATATTTTTGCATGGATCATTGTAAACAGCAGATTCTTTATTCCTGATGTCTATTAACATAGAATGTTTACTGATAAGTACTTTAAATTCCTTCATGAGCACTTAACCCATCCTAGTGTCTGTGTGTCGGGGCAGACATTTCCTGCAGGCACACAGTTTGTGCCCCTTTCAGGTCTCTGTGGGTAATTCCGTCTGTTTGATGGATGGTTGGCAGGATCAGTAGGTTCTGAAGGTTCCAGGGGTTCGACTGACCAAGTGGCAGAGAAGTCTTTTTTCCCAATTGAGTGCTAGTAGATTAGGATAAAGTCTCACAATTTTAGTGTATGCTTTTAAGAAGCCCCACACAACAACAATGGAAATACACACATGTACAACTGCCTGTAAGGGCTGGAGTCTTGGGGTTCAGGAGGAAGTCAGAGGAAGTTACAGGCATCTCTTCCAGCTTGCTTGGGACTTAGCACACACACGCACCTAATTAATTGGTGTTTTAAAGAGTAGGCTGCGCCGTCCCCCCCCCCCCCGCCCCATGCCATATACATCAGCTTCATAAACACTTTTTTCCTCCCTATAATCTAACCTTTTATGAAGTTGAGTTGAGAGACTTTATGAAATGGTTGCATTGCCCGTCTGTGCAGAAATCTTCCTGACTTTGAAACTATCAGAATATCAGCTATTAGATATGAAAGGTAGATAGCAGCTAAGAATCTGGTCTTAGGGAATAGTCACAAAACTGTCAGGTTGTAATTTTACCAACAATTGCTTCTAGTAAAATTAAAGTTAATTAAGGAATAGAACTTGGGTCAAAATTCTGTTACAAAGCTGCATAATTTGTCCCTAAGCATATGATGGAGCATTCTGAGAAATGTGCTTTTTTTGTGTTTGACATTCCTAATTTGGAAGTCCTTCAGCTGAATGACTGTTCTTTTAGAAGATGAGACAGGCAAGCGAAGGACCTAGTTCCTGTAAACATGGACGTTGTGATGGATACTTCAAAGATGTTTGTTCTACACTTTTTCCCCTGAGGCTTGGGAGGTGTGTTCCATCATCTATGTTGCTGCTGCAGTTTCTCTGCTTTTGGAAGTCTTGTTTGGGTCTGTGCTGGGGGCTGAGTGTTTAGTGTGAGCCAGTGATCCATGAGCTTGCTGCTCTGTGAAGGCCCAAGTCAGGGCCAGTCATGGTAATGGGCATGAAGGCACCTCCAGAACCTTTTATGTCTGTCGTAGGCCTACCCATCACTATTCTGGGAAACTTGTTTCTTGAGTGCTATGCAAATGTGTTCACAGGAGATGGGGCTGATCCTGCTTGGGCTGGGCGCCTGGTCAGTGAGTGTCCTGCCCTTTCCCAGCTGAGCACACAGTTCCTTGCTCCTCCTGGTGGTGTCATCTGGCTGTGATGAGTGAAGTCTAGGAAATAATTTGCATGTGTCTTGGGGACACGTCAGTAACGAGAGGAAGTACATTATTACAGTAACTTGCAATGTACAAATACCTGTCAGTGTTGTGCCTCGTAAGGTGTGTAGGGTATCTGTGAGTGTGCCAGTGAGTGGTGGTGAGAGGTCAGCACATACCAGCTATGGAAGTATTGGTGTCTGCTTTAAAAAGGAGACCCAGACTTGGCTTGTCCTTTTTACACATTTGAGAACAGTATTACTCTCAACAGTTGGGCCACCGTCACCTCATCCACAGCTCACCAGTTTGGCCATTGCCCAGACAGGACAAGACCTGCAGTGGGTACAGCTGCAGGTGGCCGGGGTGTGGCTTGAGGTGGGCAGCAGCGTCTGGTCCTTCTCTCTGGTGCTTTCTGCGGGTCTCTAAAGCAGAGTGTGGTTGGCTTAGGGGAGGGCAGAGTGCGTATTTCTCCCCTCCAGCACCTCTGCATGTGTGGGTCTTACCTCTGCCTGGGCTTTCTGAAGGGCAGTGGCCCGTTGAGTATCCTGCAGAGAACATGCTCTTACTGGTAGGTCCTGGGGGCTCCAGGGGCTCAGCTGACTGAGTAACAGAAGTGGGGTGTGTGTGGCCTTTTTGGGTAGGAAACTGCATGTTTCAGAAAGTTTGTCTCTTTTTTTCCTGCTTCCCATTATTTGAAGAATAGAGAGCCTGTGGGGATAGCCTTGTTTTGGTCCACAGGACTAAAGGGAAGTCATTTGGGAAGGGGAAACAGGAGGTGCGGCATCCGTAGGGAACCTGGGCCTGCAGGATGGTGTGTGAGGACTGGCATGACAGGTGCCCCCTCACCACAGACTGTGCCGTGGGGCCCTGTGCAGACAGTGGGCTAGACTAGCTGGGACAGATGTCGGGCCAGCTGCCTGTGCCCTTGGCAGGGTTGCTGTGCCGGCCACACGGGAGGCCCCAGAGAGCCTCATGGATTGTGACTAAAGAAGAAACGGTTCCTTTTTGTTTTTTAAAATGATTTTTAAATACAGTTTTTTACACCGTTCTCTTGGTACTTTTTTTAAGCTAAGTCAGCATTGTCTTCCAGTGTTAAAGGCGTCCCTCACCTCTGCATTGAACTTACGTATCCACACCAAGGAACGGAACTTCCATCCTGAGCCAGTTCAATTAGGTGTCAGTTCATATGGTTTTAATTTTTTACGCAATCTGATGAGTAGATGAGCTCAGATTTAAAAATCTCAAAAGCACGTTTATTGTAACAAGAATTGTTATGTATTAATACTGCAGTTTTCAATAAAGATTGACTTGTGTTGCATATTGTGGTTTTCTTGATTTCTCCATGTGCGTTTTGTCTAGAGGTAGCATTACCTGCCTGGGAGTTGCTGGAGCTTCTCTCAAGTTAGGAGGTTGCCAGGGGTTTTGAGAAGAAGGCCACCATGGCTTCCAGCCCCAGTGACCTTGGCAGTGCTGAAGAGTATGGTGGAGGCAGCAGGTTGCAGGAGACCGTTTACCCAAGTGGGACAGGGAGGGAAGCAGCCCCGTGCTCCCCTCTGGCTTCTGTGGCCAGGGTCCTCCTGGGAAGACACATTCTTCCTCATTTCACCAAGCATGCTGAGCCCCGGAAACATGGCCAGCTATTCACCCACCAAACTCATGTGGGCCAGCTTCAATTAAACACAGGGAGGCAGTGGGCTTCTGCGCATTGAGTGCGAGGGAGGGCAGAGCCACCTGTATTTCCCACCAGCGTGGCCTGGCCCTGCCCACCTTCCCCTCAGCAGCCAACCCCACCTTAGCCTGTCTCCACCAAAGCCCAGAGGGTGTGAGCTGCCACACGTGAGCCCCGCCCCACTTTTAGAAGCTGCTGGACTCATTCCTCCTTTTTAGGGAAAGGCCTAGGGTAGTCATGGTTAGCAGCCCACAGAAAATGCACGCACACTGACAGAAAACTGGCTAGCAGCCAGGTTAGTTTTCATAAATTTCTTTATGAAATTAAATGTGGTTTCTGGCTTGGAGAAGGAACAGTGCAAGAGTGTCCATGCTGCTGAATCCTGCCAGGCCCTGGCTCTGCTCCTGGCGCCCCTCGGCGGGACGAGGCACCCTCTCCACACACACGCCGCCTGGGCTGTGGGTCAGTCCTACATGCGGAGCCCCAGAATTCAGTCCTTATGGCTTCTCACGCTCACAAGGGTAAGGCAATCTTCTGTGTCACTAACAAATCAATTCTTTTTCTCCATTGGTAGAAAAACAAGATGACAAAATCCAAACAAAACCAGGAATGAGGTGGTTCTGGAGCCACCGCAAAGCCACAGGCAGACTGGCAACACAGCCCGATGGGGAGTGCGCAGCGGACTGCATTGTCCTGTCCTGTCCACTACACACACAAGTGAAGAGGGTCTCTGGCAGCCAGGTGTCTAGGGGGGCTGGGAGGCGAAGGGCAGGCTCTGGGCACAACAGGGTATGGAATTCCTAGTTCCTGCCCTCCCAAGTGGCACCACTGGCCAGGCTGGGGACTTGGAAGGAGATCTAGAGGGCAGAGGGGCCCATGGTGGCCTGGCATTGCAGGCCGCAGAAGGCCAGAGAGTCCTGCTCAGAAGAGACGAGAAGAGGGAGGACTAGGTTTCCAGAGAAGAGGGTCCCGGACAGGCAGTGCCTTCTCTCACAGGCCTGGGCTGAGCTGCAGTTTCCCGCTCCAGCAGTGATTCCCTATACAGGTCCACAGGGCAGACGGGGCCCAAGCTGCAAGGGGGCATTGGCGTACAGGGTCTGTCCCCTTGCTGTTCTCTTCACGGCAACAGAAGCAGGGGAAAACAACAGGAGTACAGACCTGGCATGTCCTGGTGGCACAAGCAACTCCCCAGCCCAGCCATGCTCACTTCCAGGTAGAGGAAGGCCAGGCAGATTGGGCCGGGGGGAAGAAAAACGGGGGTCCTCTGGCAGGAAGGCCCGGCAGGTCCCATCAGGCAGGCACCAGTTCACTTGCGGAAGGGTGCCAGCCGGCTGATGCTGTGCCAGAAGGTGGATGGCTTCCGCCTGGGCTCCGCCAGCACCAGGACCTGCTGCTGGGGCCGGCTGCTGGGCAGAGCTGGGTGCTTCTGGCGTGTCAGGTAGCAGGGCCGGCCAACGGCTGAAGAGAGAGAGACAGCAGGGGGTCATGGATGCTCAGCACAGAGTGCCACCCCAGCTGTTGAGGGCAGGATGGGGCCCGTCCCAGGGCTCTGCTTCAGAGCCGCCATAGGAGGCAGTTTTGCCACGTGGGATTTGCTCCTGGAGAGCTGACCACATCCACAAGCCCAGCCTGCCTGGAGCCTCTGGCCTAGGCCTGGCCTACTGCAGCACCCTGAAGAGAGCGTGGCCTGTGCAAGGGCATGTGATGTTTCAGGAGAATGGCTCTCTGTAGAAATGGGGAGAGCAGCTCCATCCCCACCCAACCCTGGATGCCTATCAGGAAGGAGTCCTGGGAAAACAAGCATTGTCACTGATGGCCCTCATCTGGGGAGCCAAGGTGTTGAGAGTTAAGAATGTCAACCATGTACTGACCCAAGCTTCACCAGTGGCCCCTTATCACCAACCTTTGGGAACAAACAGCTGCAAAGGGCAGTGGGCCCCCCTCAGGCCTGGTGGCTAGCTGGCTTGGCTTTGCGGGTCAGAGAAGGGAATGTGAGCAGGCAAGGGCCGGGCCAAGGAGGTGGGGCTGCTGTCCACCTACCTTTGGGCTTCCCTGTGACCTGCTGCTTGCTGGCGTTCAGCATGGCCTGCTTCCTCTGCAGTTCCGTGATGGAGAAGCCTGAGGGAGGGGCACAGATGAGGCTGCTGCCCCATTCCTCCTTGCATCGCACTTCTGGCCCCAGGTGCAGTTGTCTGCACACCTGCACCTTCCTGGTACCTGGGGTCTCATCATGTCCTGGGGACTAAGTGCTGGCCACAGCAGGGACTGTTCCGCGTTCTGCAGAGTCAGCCTGCCTTGGCCAACCAGGGCAGAGGGCATACTCTGGTACCTTGTCCTGGGGCTCCTGGCAGAAAACAAAGATCCCCGAGTGCTTCCTCTGCCTGCCCATCTCTCACCTTGACTCAGTGTCTAAGTCTTTTCCACTGCACTGGCGGCTCCTTCCTAGACCAAGTGCTGACCTGGTCGCTGCCTGTGGGTAAAGTGGGGGCCCGTGGACAGGAGGGAAGGTACGGTGGAGGGGAGACATCTGCGTGCATGGGGCCGGGGAGGCTTCTGAAGCCAGAACCACAGCCCAGTCTGTATGCTCTCCCAGGGCTTTTGCTGGCTAGAAAAGGGACCCCCCCCACACCCGCTCCAGGTCCCAGCAACCCAGAGAGTACTGAGCACAGGGCCCCATCCTATGGAGTGTGTGCACATGTCTGCAGGTGTCGTGAAGCAACTCCCCAAAAGTCAGCAGACCCATGCCTTGGAGCTGAACTCAGGAACCGTATCATGGGATGGTCAGGTAACCCTGCCATTGAGGTGATGAAGGCAAAGCCTTATGCTCACAACTGGGACCTGGAGGTACCTGGAGCCTCGCTCCCCTCTGCCGCCTGAGAGGGCCGAGTGGCGCTGTCCTGAGTGCCAGGCAGCCAGGCAGGCGGGAGTGCCGCATGGGCCCTGGGGGCTGGGGCAAGGCCCAGCAGGGTCTCGCACCTGTCTCCTGGTCCAGCCGCACCTGCTCCCGCTCCCTGGCAAAGGCCTTGAGCCAGCGCTGCTTCTGCTCCGGCTTCCTGGTGCACAGCAGGTGGCTGTCCCCTGTGGTGCCACAGTGCAGCCGGAAGGCATTCTTGATGCTCACATGGAGGTCTCTGTCCTTCCCGTCCTCCAGGTCCACCACCTCCAGCCCGTCCATGTCCAGCCGGCCCTTGTAGTACAGCACGTCCCGGCGGAGCAGGTCCTGCCAGATGCTGTCCTCAGCCCCAGCTGCTGAACCGCTCCCCTGACCATTTCCTGGCCGCTCCCACCTCCTCTCCCCAGCCACAAGAGGGGCTGCTGCTGGTGCCTCCACCTCCCCAGCAGACAGGGAGATCCTCAGAGCAGGCCTGCTGCGGCCCATAGCTGTGCTGAGCCATGAGAGGAGAGGCCTTGCTCCTTTAATGCACCGCTACTGACTAGCCCGGGGTTGGCCCTGTCTTTGGGGTGGGGAGACTTAAGACAGTGGCCCACACCACACAGAAGAGCACCCATGGACAAGGAGGGCTTCATGGATGCAAGGCCACTGGGCCATGTTTTGAAAGAGGAGCAGAAACCAGCAGCGCAGAGGAAGCTGGGAGGTGGCTACAGCAGGGGACTCGGGTTGGAGAGAGGGATGTGGAGGTCTGCAGGGAGGGAAGAGGTAGCTTGAGGAGCAAGCAGCCATCAGGTCAGGAAAGACTGTGCTCCCGACAGCACCTGGCCTGGCCAGCCTGGGAAAGCCGCCCGCTGTTCCTGGGCCACCAGGCTCACTTGCAGAGAGCCACCCCATCCCAGGCCCAAGGGTCTAGTCAGGCTCCCCGTGTTTGGTCTGGCTGGCACCTGTCTTCTGGGCAGCTACTCGCAGCCCTCAGCTCCCCTCCCTCCACTTGCTCAACTTGGGCCAGCAGGGCAGAGCAGCTCTGGTACCTTCTTACAGTAGATGAGCTGGTGGTCAAAGAGAAAGAACATTCTCTGCTGGCTCCTGGCTTGAGGCTGTGTAACTCGAGTCAGCTCCCCCGAGTAGATGAGTTCTGAGCTCCTGACCAAGAGATCTTCCCCCTGGCAAGACCCCAAGGAGAACCATGAGCCTAGCATACCCCGCCTTGGGCTCCAGGTTCCTGCCCCCATCATGAGTAGGGGACCTCCCCCTGGCCATGCCTGCAGTACCTACCTGGCCAGGCCACAGTGGGAGGGGGAGAAAGAGTTGGCTATCCTTTGTGGCTAATCCATATTAGATGTGATGTCAGTGTAGGATATATATTGATTTTTGAAGACTTCGTATGAAATAATGTAAAATATTTCATTAATGATAGTTGGTTACGAGTTGAAATGCTATTTTGGAGTTAAATGAAACATTAAAATTAAATTCACTTGTTTCTTTTTTCCCTTTTTAAAGATGGCTACTACGTATTATACATATGATTCCGTATGTGGCTCACATGCTAGCCTGATCAGACAGTGCTGCTCTAGAGAAGAATTAGGTCTGGCTGGGATTCACGTCCGAGCCAACCTTTGAGAGCTCTAAGGAGGCCCTCTTCCCAGCTAAATGCATTGAGTACCTGAAGCTCCATCATCTGCACTTGGGTTTCGCACTTTTAGATTAAGCCCTGCCCTGGTCTGGTTCCTCTTTGAAAACGCAAACCCCAGCCGGGAATGGTTGGCAGCAGGCCATTTTGGTGAGTAAATCTGGAGGGCCCTGAGCCAGGGCTGGGCCTTGAACATGACTGCCCAGATTGCTCAGCCTCGCCCCAGGGCTTCTGATTCAGTGTCCAGGGTGGGGCCCCGGAATGTGTGTTTTCATAATGTTCTGTGACTGATACTGATTGAGTTCCAGGTCATTTCTCTCCCTGACAGCTGGTGGAGCGCATGGTGGTGGCAGCACCCATGTGGGTAGGGAGCCCTTGGGAGCAGATCAGGAGGTGACAGACTGGCAGATGCAAGCGGGGGTGGGGGTGGAGGGGACGAGCACATTGTCATGAGTTCTAAGACAAGATTGGCAGATGCAAGGAGCACGCGCAAGTGAGACAGAACCGGGAGGCTCTGATGGGGGGCGATGCATTTTTGGTCATGCTGTGTCGGGCCTGCAGCCTTCTGTTAGGAGTCCCAGAAATGAACTACAACAGGGATCTGGCCTGTCCCCTAAAGGCAGAAGGACAGAACAATTCTGAGGAACACACTTCCCCTGTTTAGGGCTTCCCCTGGGCTGGCTGGCTGCTTGTGGGAGGAGTCTCACATAGAAAAGAGGCCACCAGGTGCCAAAGCCTGTGAGGGAAGGCAGCACTGAAGGTCCGGAGCCCACGTGGGGATGGGCTTTCCCACCATGAGCATTCGTTGTTAGCTCCCAGGAGCGCAGCTCCCTGCTTCAGCTCCCTTCTAGATTTTTTTAGAGGCAAGCATGATTTTAAAGCAAGGGGCCAAGACCTCATGGAGTTTTCTGGCCCCCGGCCCTCACCTCCCAGTCCTCGATGGAGCTCTGCCACTGAGCAATCTTGTCAATGTTTTCAAGTCTCCGCTTCCGCTCATTGATGAGCTGGGCCACGTTCTTCATGGCATGCAAGGCAGCTTCAACGTCCTTGAAGTCCCTGGGGCAGAACAGAGATGGAAGGCTGCTGCAGGCTGAGGACAGAGAAAGGATGAGGATCCCTGCAGCCCTCATGTGCGGAGCTGCTTTCCTCTGACCACATCCTCACTGTCAGATGCACAGCCCCTCTCTTCTCCATAATGGCAGGCAGAGAGCAGAGCTTAATATCCGGGTGGCATCCTCCTCCCCGCTTGCAAGGAGAGCTCATCAGAGCAGGGCTAGTTTTCTGTGTGTTGCCCTAGGGCCTGCAGCAGTGCCCAGCATACTGCTGATGTTTAAACTGGTTGACTGGAGGCATGCAGACGCATGGGCTGCCTCCCTGCCTCAGTGCCCTCCTACCTGTGCTGGGGGTGCGTGTATTTGAGCAGCTCGGCCAGCTGCAGAGGGTACTTGCAAATCTTCTGCACCGGGGTCAGCAGGAAGCCATCCAGGGAGATGTCAATCATCTTCTGCAGCAGCCGGCAGGCCTCGAAGAAGTACACATACTTGCTGAGCTTGGTGAGCCGGGAGAGCTCCACGCAGGCGTTGGGGTGGTTATTGCAGTACTCGGAGTAGATCTGGAAGTCGGCTTGCTGAGGGGCACAGCTGGAGGTTAGCAGAGCCTCTCTGCTGCTCCCCCAGGCAATCCAGCTGCATGTCTGGGAAGGGCAAGAGCCTCTACATTTCTTTCCTTCAGGAGCTGAGCTTGGGATTAGCGGGGACCCAGGCTCTGTGTACCTATTTCCCTGTGCCACAAGCTACGTGAAGTCACACCCGGGGTGGGAATGGTGAGAATATGAGCAGGTGTCCTGGCTGCACGTCGGCTTTCTAGGTAGAATCCATGATAACAAGGACCGGCTAACAAAGCCGAAAGCAGCGGCCGTGGTGGAGGGGTGGGTGGGACAGGCGTCCTCCGCTCACCCTTGCTCGACTGCGCAAGAGGGCCAAAGCAAGACTCTTCTCTACCAGGTGAGGTTGGGAAGTGTCCACTTAGAGCGGCCCAGTGAACCTTGGTAAATGCCAGCCAGCATCTGCCACATAAGCAAGCTGAACATTCTCCCTGCGTGAGAAACCCCAGAGCCCACTCTGGATAGCCCCTGGGGCGCTCAGCAGGCCTCTGCCCTTTCCTCCGTCAAAGCAAGTCCGTCCCCGGGGGACGCCCCAGCCCTCTGCTCCCAAAAGCGTTCCCAGACTTGGTTTCCCCACCCAGAAGCAGAGAGAGGCCTGGAGCTGGAGCCCACGCGTGTGGAAGGTTTTGGGAGCAGCCACCCGCTGTCCGTGCTTGCGCCTCTGTGAGCGCGGCGCCCGGGGGGCGGTGGGGAGGGGAGAGGAATGTGAGGGGCAGGGGCCGCGCGCTCACATGCTCCAGGAAGCAGGCGCCCAGCTCGCTCAGGTGCGGGCGCTCGCGGTTGAACCTCTGCTCCAGGGCCTTCACGAAGGCCTTCTGGCAGCGGTAGATGTCCTCGATGTTCCCGAAGATGGTGCGCAGCTGCTCCTCGCTGAACATGTCTGCGCGCTTGCGGCACTGCCGGACGTAGCCCTGCGGGAGGACACAGTCAGGCCTCTCCCGACCCGGTCCCCGGCGCCCCCTACCCCCGGCCGGGCCTCACCTCGCAGATGTCGCGCAGGTGCTTGATGTAGTCCCGCTCGGTGCTGAGGATTTCGTTGATGACGTTGGTCCGCATCTGGTCCTTGCTGCTCTGCGCCTCCGCCCCGCCGTCCTCCGCCCCGCGGTCCCCGGCCCGAGGGGCCTCGTCGTCCGCGGGCTCGTCCTGGTTCACCCGCAGCTGCAAGCCATGCGCAGCGGGTCAGTGCCCCGCATCCCTCGGAACAGCGCTGTGCGCTCTGCGCCACAGCGGCAGGAACCGGGTCTTGGAGGCCCAGCAAGGTGCACTGGGCGCGAGGCGGAGGCCTGGCCGGCCACCTCCCCGCACCACGCCACCCGCAAGTCCTGGACTGAGGGATGGCGGCTCCGACGCCCGCAGCCGCTGTCAGTGTGATCCGAACACCACCCTGGCCTCCTTCCTAGACCCTCTTGTGCCGGGCACAGAGCCTGCAGGGCTCCCTGCAGTTCCTGAACCACTGCCTGCTCCTGCTGGCCTCCCGTGGGCTGAAGCAGGGGGATGGGTGGCACACTCCACTGGCTAACTTATAACTTGGGGCAAGGCTTAGGGTGTGGAGTGTACAGTTTCCTAGAGGGGCTGGGACAGGAGGAGCATCTGAACACCAGGACCTGAGACCTCCCGGTGGACGGCCCTCAGCTTGGATGCCCTCAGCCAGGCCTTCTGGAGACTACACCTGGATTCCTTCCTTGAAGACCAGAAACCCCCTTAGATGGAATCCAGGAGTCTTCTCTGCGGTCTCCAGGGCTAATAACTTTTCCGTGCTTCAACTTCCTCAGGTGTAAGTCATGGTTCCCACTCAGGAGGCTGTGTGTGAGATGAGCAGTCCCCTATCTGTGCTCTTCTGGGCTTGGGAAACGTCTAGTGCCTGTAGTTGTAGGGGTATGGCAGAGGGCAGCCTAGTGTCTGCACGAACTCCTTTCTGAACTGCTCTCCTCTCTGGCCTCTGAGGGCTGGCCAGAAAAGGGTTGGGAGCAGAAGTAGTGACTCTCCAGAAGGAGGAAGGCTGTGACATTGCCCCCCCAATACCACCACCCAGCACTTTACACCAAGACCACGCCCAGCACCTCAGATACCAAAGCTGTTCTGGGCTTGGATTGCTTTGCAGAACCAGGTAGCTCTTCATGGGCCCAATGGGAGAGAAGCCCAGGCTGGAATCATACCCGAACGAAGCTGGCTGGAAACCATCCCTCGCCGTCGGCGACCCGGCCCCACCACCACTCTCTGTTGGTGGCATCCATCACTTCGATGACATCTCCAGCTTTGAAGCCCAGCTCCTGGTCGTCCATGGTAACATGGTCCCAGAGTGCTTCAGCGCAGACCACACTGCCATCGCTGATGAGCTGCAGAGAGTCACAGGTAGGCAGGTTGGTGGGGGAGGCTGCCTGGGCCTGCATGTCCTCTGTCCCCACCTCAGCAGTCCTGGGAAGAGGGGATCCTGACTCCTTCACAGAGGAGTCGACAAACCTGCCTCTGGCAGGAGCAGAGCTTTCCTGGGGCAGGGGCTGTGTTCTGGGCATGTCGAGATTATCAAGGCTCAGTGATGGAGCCAGAGATGCACTGACCACAGAATCTGATCCTGTCACTGGGATTGCCAACTGCTCCCTTAGGCTTTCCCAACCCAGCATTCCTGGGGGCTGCAAAGCTGCTGGAGAGAGGGGCTGGGGGCTGCAAGGCTGCAGGAGAAAGGGGGCTAGTGCCCTCTTGTGGGCTTCTTGTGGATGAGCATTGCCTGTGAGGTCAGCCACCAACCACAAAGCCCCTCCTTCATCCAGGTCGACAGTGCCGCCCTGCCATTGCAGTGGCTGCAGCTTGTTTGCCGTGTGTTTTGTTCAACACTTGCCGAACCAGCCTCATGCCACCCCCAGAGATGCCAGCACCAGCTAAGCAATGCACCTTCTCAGAGCTCTAGATCCCAAGCCCTAGGATCCTGTTTGAGTTATTCCAACCTATTCCCTTTATTTCCGAAGTTCTAGAAGTAGGAGCATCTTGCCCCTGCTAGCACTGTGATAAGCACTTCGGGACTGCTCTTGTGCAGTGTTACCCAGTCAACCGTGTTATACCAAGCTGACCATTATTCACATGCTTCTGCTCAAATAACTGGCGTGGTGCCTTGCTCCAGAGTGGTGTGGACTGAGACACCGGACTGAGGGCCGCGCTCCCCTGCCCCTCCCAGGCAGCCCTCACACATGGCGCTCCTTCTGGCTGAGTCGTGTTTTCTCCTAACATGGGATCTGTTTCCGCTCCCTGAATGTGAGCAGCTCCAGGGTCTTAAGGCAGGAGAGGAGGGGTGGGCCAGAGCTGCACGGGAGGTGAGGTCCATGCCCCTCCCTGCTGGGACCTGGTGTTGGCACCTGGCTAAGCAGTCAAGGATGAGAGTGTCACAAATAGGCCCTCTTCACTGACCATCCCTCCTCTGAGCTGCCACTACCCCAGATGAGCCCTCCCTTCACTTCACTGGGTGCTCACTGAGCAACACTGTGTGAATCCTCACGTCAACATCGAAACTAAGAGTGGGGCCAGTCCTGTGTTCCAGCCACTAAGAGGCCTCTGCCTGCATGGGCAGGGTGAGGGCTGGGACTGGCCTCTGGAGCACTGGAGCTCTGGAGCCTGCTCGGGATGGTGCTCTCCTCCAGGGATCCTGAGCAAGCACTTTCAGAGAAGGACAGACCCCCTCTTTCCTGGGGGGCAAAACCTGCTCCAATCCTGATGAAAGCTGTCCTCAGAGTGGTCCATGAGCCTGTGGGCACAGGCACTCTCACAGTGTGGCAGTCAGCCGGGAGCTGCAGAGCTCCAGAGGCCCTGTGGGGCCCAGGCACAGATCCCTGGGTTATTGCTGGGGGCAGCAGGTCTCCACAGGAGGCCACTGCTCTCACTCCCAGCCACAAAGACCTTCTGTGGGTGGCCTCCAGGATGGTGACCTGCTGCTGTCACTCAGATGAGATGAGACAGGAGTCCCTCAGGAGACCATATGGGAGGAGCCTGCCTGCCACGGTGGGGAGCTGGCTCACCCTGCTGAGGCCCTGAAGGACGAGGCTCCAGGGAAAGAAGGAAGCAGACACGGTGGCCTGGGGAAGCCAGTGAGAATGTGAGCTGTAGGTGACATGCCCTGACCTGGGGTCTGTGACACAGGCTGTGGGAAAGTGACCAGACACACTCAACACGGCTCACTTTCCCACCGCTTCCCTTCTCAGGACGTTCCTGCCTGCTATTAACGAGGTGAGGTGTCACCCTCTGTCCCTAGGTTCCCTTAATGAGCCCTGAGCAAAAGCCTGGTGTCCCCTTCCTTTATGCTGCCTGTCCTTGCAGGCGGGGCTGAGTCCTGCAGAGGTGGCCTCCCACATAGCTGCCGGGGAAGGTCTCCAGGTGTCAGGTAAGAGGAGGGCTTCACAGAGAGACCAGCTTCCAGGCACCATGAGTGACAAGCCCCCCACACCTGTCCTGCCGGTCACCTGGAAGACCTTGGGGGAGTCTGAGCTCCTTTCCCTTTGTTGCACCCTTGTGCCAGACGGAGCCTGGCACAGGGACACGTGCCCTGAGCAAGCTTTCGGATCACCTGTGCCTCTCACCAATGTAAGGATGTCAGCCTGGTGGCAGAGGTCCTGCATAGGCTCAGACTCAGGAGGTACTTTAATGAGTTACAGGGAATGTGAACTATTTTATGTTGTCACCGAGACAAAATGTGGCTCTGTGACATCAGAGTCATGCTCCACCTCCGATGCTGTTGGGCTGGGTGCCTTTCTGAACAAAGGTCCTTTTTGGTGCTTGTAGGCATAGCTGCACCTGAGCCAAGACACAAGCCAGGCAGGTAGGCCCCCCGGGCAAGGAGTCCAGGCTGCAGCTGCCTCTCCGCCTGCAGGAAGCAGAGAAGCAGAGACTGGCTCTGAGACACAGGGTGGCTGTGAAACTGGCTGTTCAATTGCTGGGGAGGGTCCCAATGGAGGGGCAGTATTTAAGACTTAAGACAGCCCAGGGCTGGGAGCAGGGATACCCTCCTGTGCCTCTGAGGTTCTGACAGGCTGCCGGAGAGCAATGCTGCCAGGCTCTGCCTCCAGCAGCTCCCTGTGACCACCACTGCCCTCCCCACCCTGCCCACCTACCAGACTTACAGGGTGGGGGCGGCTGGGAACACCCACTGGCTGTGCAGCTGGGGTGGGGGGGATGGTTCAGAGGGCCCACGGGCAAGGCGGGCAGCAGGGACTCTGCTTGTGGGAAGACTGACTGACACCACGTATTTTAAGGCCTAAAACGGGAAAAACTGCAGGTAACATGCGCAGCGGTAGCCAGGCATCTTCCACACACCTGGCTCAACCCACACAGATGTAAGCGCGTGTGGCTCATCCAGCAGGTCACATGCACTCCGTTTCCAGACAAGCAGTCGGCGCGCCCCAGCTGAATCTGCACCCTCAGTGACACGCAGAGACGCGCCATTTTGCACCCCCCCATGGCCCCCACCCCCCCACAGGGCACAGAGGACAGAAGGACCCTGTCCCACACGTGCCACCACACCCCTCAAGCACCCGCTCGGCGACACCCCCGGACCAGGCCCTGGTAGTGAGCACATGGGATGGAAGGGAGACCTCCCCTCCGCGACCGCTGCGGAGGCCGCGGGTGGCAGCGGCTGGAGTGCGGTTGCCCGCGCCACTCACCCCGGCGCGGTCCCCCGCGGCGCCCTGTGCTGCCGCTCAGCGGAAGGCCAGTAAGAAGATCAGCACGACGTTGATGAGGACCAGGAGCGCCAGCACGGCGGAGACCACCACGCGCTGGGCGCCGGGGGGCAGGTTGCAGCGCAGCAGGGCGCGCAGAGCATTCCCGGGCGCCACGGGGCCGCGCCGGGGCTGCGGGGCCCTCGCCATGGCGCCCGGCCTCCCGCTCCGTGCGGCCCCGAGATCCCGCCGCGCAGGGCCGAGCCGATGGCTCGCAGCGCCCGGGGAGAGGTGGAGCGCCTGCGCTCGTGGGCCTGGGGCTCCTCCCGCGCAGCCGGCGCCGTGCACGCGGCGCCTCCCAGGCCCGGAGCCCTGGCAACCCTAGCAACCAAGCCAGCTGTGCGGGCGGGGGCGGCGGGCTCGGAGGCTCGGAGGGGCTGCGGCGGCTCCGGCGTGCGCTGCGCTTCGCCCTTGGCACCTCCTTGGGAAGGGTCGGGAACCTCCACGCCCGCACAGCGGTCCTGGCCCGGGCTGGCCAGTGGCACAGATGGCCACGGGGGCGCTCGGGGATGCCCGGGGACCTCATAGTTTCAGGCATACGAAGGCCAAAACGCCTAGCACCGGCGCTTTGGGGAGGGATGGGCCAGGGACTCTGGTGTCTTACAAGGACTGCATGAGTAAACGCGGCTCTGAAATGTCAGAGAATCTTCTCAGTCATAAAATCGGGCAGGTATGCAGGGATGGTGGAGGCAGGATTTAAACCCAGGTCGGAGCGACCCGCGCTGAGGGGCCCCTCTACTGACCGCAGCGTCAGAGCAGCATTATATTCCTTTGGATATATATCAGGGCTTCCTCTGCCTCCACCAGACACAGCCTGCAACCTTAACCCTGTAGGTTTCAAAGCTCTTTTGCAAGAGCTCTCATTCTATCCCTGAAAATGACAGCCCAGGCAGTGTGTTCTTCCCGAGAGGTGAAAAGACTGCAGGGGAGGAGGCTAAACAAACACTCCGCTCAGTCATGGGCAGAGATTTCTGGGCAACAAGCTCAGTGCTTTGAATCCGGGAGCAAGAAGAGCCCCTCGAGGGCCGAGAGGGGCACATAGAGGAAATGTGTGCAGAGACTGGGTGTTCCCACGGGAGTGATTTAACATGCTCTGATCTCTATGTATGTGGCCATAGATGGCCACCCCTTGCAAGGACAGGTGAGTGCACCCTGAATGTCACCATCCTGTTGAAGACTATAAAGCAGAGTGGATGCCATGTGTGTCTGCATGTGTGTATGCAAGGGGACCTGTGTGTGCATGTGCATAGCTACCTCTGTGTAAGGGGATACCTGTGTGCACACATATGGGCATCTGTGTGTGGAGTTTCCATGCATGTGTGTACACATGTAGGTGCCCGTGTGTGTGTGCAGAGGAGGGTCAGGGATGTGTCCAGAGAGGCTGTGTGCCTCCCTCACATCTGAAGGTTCAGCCTGGGCCCATCTGTCTGGGGTACTGCTCATGCCCAATTCTTTTTTTTTTTTTTTTGAGACGGAGTTTCGCTCGTTACCCAGGCTGGAGTGCAATGGCGCGATCTCGGCTCACCGCAACCTCCGCCTCCTGGGTTCAGGCAATTCTCCTGACTCAGCCTCCTGAGTAGCTGGGATTACAGGCACAGGCCACCATGCCCAGCTAATGTTTTGTATTTTTAGTAGAG